AAAATTAATTAATTAATTAATTAATTAAAAATTGGTAAAAACTGAAAACAATTTGGCATTCTCTTTCAGAGCTGATTTTTTTTTTAGACAGATTCTCACTCTGTCACCTAGGCTGGAGTGTAGTGTTGTGATCTCAGCTCACTGCAACCTCCGCCTCCAAGTTCAAGGGATTCTCCTGCCTCAGCCTCCAAGTAACTAGGATTACAGGCATGTGCCACCATGCGCAGCTAATTTTTTTTTATTTTTAGTAGAGATGGGGTTTTGTCATGTTGGCCAGGCTAATCTCGAACTCCTGACTGCAAGTGATCTGCCTACCTCAGTCTCGAGAGTGCTGGGATTAGGGGCGTGAGCTGCAGCGCCAGGCCAAAGCTGATTTTTCTTATACCTCACAACCTAACAGTCTCACTCCTAGGTATATACCTTAGAGAAACTCTTGCACATGCACAAGAGAGAAATACAATAATGTTCACAGCAATAATGTTTATAATAGCAAAAAAAAAAAAAAAAAAGCAATTCATGAATGTATCAGCAGGAGAATAGACGAAGTATTATATATTTGGTAAATTCACTCAGTACCATTTACCCTCCAGTGAAAACATGAGCTGCAGCCACATGCAACAATATGGATAAATCCTGGAAATACAATAGTGAGTGAAAAAACAAGTAAACAGTGCTAGAAGGCTACATATAATATGATTTTATTTACTGATTTATTGAGACAAGGTCTGGCTCTGTGGCCCAGGCTGGGGCGCAGTGGTGCAATCTCGACTCACTGCAGCCTCAACCTCCCAAGCTCAAGTGATCCTCCCACCTTAGCCTCCGAGTAGCTGGGATTACAGATGTGTGCCACCATACCCAGATAATTTTTGTATTTTTTGTAGAGACGGGGTTTTGCCACATTGCCCAAGCTGATCTCCAACTCCTGGGCTCAAGCAATCCACCTCAGCCTTCCAATGTGCTGGGATTACAGGCGTGAGCCATCGCACTTGACCTTATTTATTTATGTTTTGAGACAGAGTCTTGCTCTGTCACCCAAGATGAAAAGCAATGGTGTAATCATAGCTCACTGCAGCCTCAACTTCTGGGGCCAAACAGAACTCTCCACCTCAGCCTCCCAAGTAGATGGGACCACAGGCATGTGCCACCACATCCGGCAACTTTTTTTTTTTTTTTTTTGGCAGAGACAGATTCTCCCTATGTTGCCCAGGCTGGTCTTGAACTCCTGGACTCAAATGATCTTTCTGCTTCAGCCTCCTGAAGTCCTGGGACTACAGGTATAAGCCACTGTGCTCAGCCAGTTTTTTTTTTTTCTTTCTCTCTTTTTTTTTTTTTTTTTGTTATTCGTTTTGTTTTCAGCCAGTTATTTTTAGAGATGATAGAGTCTCACTCTGTCACCCTCGTGGGAGCACAGTGGCACATAGTTCACTTCTGCCTGCAACTCCTAGGCTCACGGGAATCCTCCTGCCTCAGCCTCCCTTCCTGAATGGCTGGGACTATGGGCTACCAGCCCAGCTGACTTTTGAAATTATTACTTTACAGAGGCTATGATGCCCAGGCTAATCTCTTTATTTATTTATTTATTTATTTATTTATTTTGAGATGGAGTTTCGCTCTTGTTACCCAGGCTGGAGTGCAATGGCGCGATCTCGGCTCACCGCAACCTCCGCCTCCTGGGTTCAGGCAATTCTCCTGCCTCAGCCTCCTGAGTAGCTGGGATTACAGGCACACGCCACCATGCCCAGCTAATTTTTTTGTATTTTTAGTAGAGACGGGGTTTCACCATGTTAACCAGGATAGTCTCGATCTCTTGACCTTGTGATCCACCCGCCTCAGCCTCCCAAAGTGCTGGGATTACAGGCTTGAGCCACTGCGCCTGGCTTTAATTTTTTTTTTATATTTATTTTTTCAAGATGGAGTCTTGCTCTGTCACCCAGGCTGGAGTGCAATGGCACAATCTCGGCTCACTGCGCCCTCTGCCTCCCGGGTTCAAGCAATTCTCCTGCCTCAGCCTCTCAAGTAGCTAATAGGTGCCCACCACCATACCTGGTGAATTTTTGTATTTTTAGTAGAAACAGGGTTTCACCATGTTGGCCAGGCTAGTCTCAAACTCCTGACCTCGTGATCTGTCTGTCTTGGCCTCCCAAAGTGCTGGGATTACAGGCATGAGCCACCACGCCCAGCAATTTTTTGTTTTATTTTATTTATTTTATTTCATTTTTTGAGACAGAGTCTTGCTGTCACCCAGGCTGGAATGCGTGGCACAATCTTGGCTCACTGAAGCCTCTGCCTTACAGGTTCAAGCGATTCTCCTGCCTCCGCCTCCCAAATAGCTGGGATTACAAGCACGCACCACTATGCCCGGCTAATTTTTGCATTTTTAGTAGAGACGGGTTTCCCCATGTTGGCTAGGCTGGTCTCAAACTCCTGACCTCAGTCTCTCAGCCCGCCTCGGTCTCTCAAAGTGCTGGGATTACAGGCATGAGCCAAGCACCCAGCCTAATTTTTTTTTTTTCGTGATCTGTGGTTTTCTTTTTAATTATCTTAAGTCTTATGATCACACATTATTTTTAAATTTGTGTATATCTCCTCTGCTTTAATCCTTTTAAGTTGGCAGAAGCACCATTCCCAATCACAAATACACAGCAGTTGTACAGTTTTGTTTCTGAATGGCTGTTTAAAGACAATCCTAAATTATAACTTAGTTTGACTTAGATAGTGAAAAATCCAAGAGTGAAGTTTAAATGGCTACTATTTTCAAAGCATGTGACCTTATAGATCATCTATAAAATGTGTGAAGTGTTAAATAATTTTTGATATTACACATAAACCACACAAAATGCCTTTCAGTAAGTAAAAGGAACCATTTTAAATACAGGGAATTCTAATTAGATTGGCATAGTTAAGGCCAAAAATATAAACTAGCCTTTGCTACCCATTTATCTTCAACCCTTGCCTTTAAGAGGCAAATGAACACAAAACACAGGTGAATCTTGCTTGGTTCTGAGCCAGTGAAGGAATTCCCCCCATATTTAAATATATTCACATAACCAGTTTATATTTAGATTTATAAATCTAAATATAAAACCAATCTCCACTAAGTTTTAAGATGGCACTCACCATCTTTGCAAAAAATTTAGCATTACTAAGGAAGTCTAATCATATCTTTAGAAGGGGTAAACAGTGATAGAATTTACTAAATTGGAATTACTATTAAAATCCAAAAACTGAACGTACTCATTTAACTACAAGCCAGTCTTAGTTTTAAATCAGGACTGCCCAACAAAATACTGTCAGTCATTCATGATGTAAATTCTGGTGTATGAGATCTATTAAAGTATGGTACACATAAAAAAGTCATGAGACATTTGTTTCTCAATAAATAAGGCAGTGGCCAATTACTACTCATTAGTAGCTATTTAGTCTTCCCTTTCTCCCTTCTTTTTTTTTTTTTTTTTTGAGACGGAGTTTCGCTCTTGTCACCCAGGCTGGAGTGCAATGGCGCGATCTCAGCTCACCGCAACCTCCGCCTCCTGGGTTCAGGCAATTCTCCTGCCTCAGCCTCCTGAGTAGCTGGGATTACAGGCACACGCCACCGTGCCCAGCTAATTTTTAGTATTTTTAGTAGAGACGGGGTTTCACCATGTTGACCCGGATGGTCTCGATCTCTTGACCTCGTGATCCACCCGCCTCGGCCTCCCAAAGTGCTGGGATTACAGGCTTGAGCCACCGCGCCCGGCCTTCTCCCTTCTTCTTAATGCCAGCAAAGATCATTTTTCTTCCAGGGATATACTTCTTGGGATTCTCCAAATATTCCATCAGTGTATCCTCTCCCCAGAGGATGCCTTTGTTCTTACTGGCTTCAGTGTAAGTGAATCCAGAGGCCTGACCTGTCTTCCGCCCAAGGATACCATGGAGATTAGGTCCAGTCTTGTGCTTGCCTCCCTTTTCCACGGTGTGACATCGGGAACACTTCTGAATAAAAATCCTCTTGCCTTTCTCAACATCACCCATATTTAATTCTTTTTCGTCATTAGCGCAACAAAGGTTACTGCTCAGAAGCCGGACATCCCACTCTCTCACCCAGCCTAATTTTTATTTTTGGAAACAGGGTCTCACTCTGCCTCCCAGGCTGGAGGGCAGTGGTGCAATCTCACTGTAGCCTCAAACTCCAGAGCTCAAGCGATTCTCCCACCTCTGCCTCCTCAGCATCTGGGACTACGTTTTTTGTGTGTTTTTGGGTTTTTTGTTTGTTTTTTTTTTTTGAGACAGGGTTTTGCTGTTGTTGCCCAGGCTGGAGTGCAAAGGTACGAACTCAGCTCACACAACCTCCACCTCCTGGGTTCAAGAGATTCTCCTGCCTCAGCCTCCCAAGTAGCTGGGATTACAGGCATGTGCCACCACGACTGGCTAATTTTGTATTTTAATAGAGACAATATTTCTCCATGTGGATCAGGCTGGTCTCGAACTCCCAACTTCAGGTGATCTGCTGGCCATGGTCTCCCAAAGGGGTGGGATTACAGGCATGAGCCACTGTGCCTGGCCTTTTTTTTTTTTTTTTTTTTTTTTTTTTAAGATGGAGTTTGACTCTTGTCACCCAGGCTGGAGTACAATGGCACAATCTCGGCTCACTGCAACCTCCACCTCTCGAAGCAATTCTCCTGCCTCAGCCTCCCAAGTAGCTGGAATTACAGGCACCCACCACCATGCCTGGCTAATTTTTGTATTTTTAACAGAGACAGGTTTTCACCACGTTGGCCAGGCTAGCCTCGAATTCCTGACCTCAGGTGATCTGCCCACCTCGACCTCCTGAAGTGTTGGGATTACAGGCATGAGCCATCCCGCCTGGCCTAATTTTCTTTTGATAGAGATGACATCTTGCTATGTTGCCCAGGCTGGTCTCAAACTCCTGAGGTCAAGTGATCCTTCCACTTTAGCCTCCCAAAGGGCTGGGATTATAGGTGTTAGCCACTTTGCCTGCCCTATTTATTTTTTTGACTTACAAAAACATGGAAGGCTTCATGGATGTGCATGTCATCCTTGTGCAGGGGCCCTGCTAATCTCTGTATCGTTACAATGTTAATATATGTGTTGCCAAAGTGAGTGCAGTCCTGTGATCTCAGTTCACAGCAACCTCTGCCTCCTGGTTTCAAGCAATTCTCCTGCCTCAGCTTCCCAAGTAGTTGGGATTACAGGCGCCTGCTACCATGCCTAGCTAATTTTTTTGTATTTTTAGTAAAGATAGTATTTCCCCATGTTAGCCAGACTGGTCTTGAACGATTGGCCTTAGGTGATCCACCTGCCTCAGCCTCCCAAAATGCTAGGATTACAGGTGTGAGCCACTGTGCCTGGCTAATAGACTGTTTTTTGGTTTTTGTTTTTATTGGCAGAGTCTTGCTCTGCTACCAGGCTGGAGTGCAGTGGCGTGATCTCATCTCACTGCAATCTCTGCCTCCTGGGTTCAGGCAATTCCCCTGCCTAAGCCTACTGAGTAGCTGGAACTACAGGTGCAAGCCACCATGCCTGGCTAATTTTTTTTTTTTTTTTTTTTGAAACAGAGTCTCACTCTGTTGCCTGGACTGGACTGCAGTGGTATAATCTCGGCTCACTGCAACCTCTGCCTCCCAGGTTCCAGCGATTCTCCTGGCTCAGCCTCCTAAGTAGCTGGGATTACAGGAGCCCACCACTGCGCCCAGCTAAATTTTTAGTAGAGGCAGGGTTTCACCATGCTGGCCAGGCTGGTCTTGAATTCCTGATCTCTTGATTTGCCCACCTCGGCCTCCCAAAGTGCTGGGATTACAGGTGTGAGCCACCACGCCCAGCTTAATTTTTTTGTATTTTACTAGAGATGGGATTTCACTACGTTGGCCAGTATGATCTAGATCTCCTGACCTCATGATCCACCTGCCTTGGCCTCCCAAAGTGCTGGGATTACAGTCATGAGTCACCGTGCCCAGCCCGGTAGTAGTATTTTTATAGAACATGAAATAAGTAAGATGGCGGAGCACGGTGGGTCACACCTGTAATCCCAACACTTTGGAATAGCAAGGTGGGAAGATCGCTTGAGCCCAGGAGTTGGAGATCAGCCTGGCTAACATGGAAAAACTCCATTTCTACAAACAATACCAAAAAATTAGCTAGGCATGGAGGTGCATGTTTGTGGTCCCGGCTAGGCAGGAAGCCAAGATGGAAGGATTGCTTGAACAACATCATGACCTGGCATTCATATGCAAAAACGGAAAAAACGAAACTAAGCTATATTACTTAAGCATACATCCATTTGTGAGAAAGCTATATATATGTGTGTGTCTATATATGTAGATATAGTATATATGTATACATACATATATAGTGTATATGTGTGTGTGTATAAACATATACATATACATATATATATATATATATATTTTTTTTTTTTTTTTTTTTTTTTTGAGATGGAGCTCTTACCCAGGGTGGAGTGCACTGGCGCCATCTCAACTCACTGCAACCCCTGCCTCCTAGGTTCAAGTGATTCTCCTTCCTTAGCCTCCCTAGTAGTGGAGACTACAGGTGTGTGCCACCACGCCCAGCTACTTTTTGTATTTTTAGTAGAGACAGAGTTTCGCCATGTTGGCCATGCTGTTCTTCAATTCCTGACCTCAAGTGATCTGTCGCCTCAGCCTCCCAAAGTACTGGGATTACAGGTGAGAGCCACCGTGCCCAGCCAGAAAACTATATTTTAAAAACGGGGGCCAGGCGTGGTGACTCATGCCTGTAATCCCAGCGCTTTGAGAGGCTGAGGTGGGCGAATCATCTGAGTTTAGGAGTTGAACAGCCTGGCCAACATGGTGAAACTCCGTCTCTACTAAAAATACAAAAATTAGCCAAGTGTGATGGCATGTGTCTATAATCCCAGCTACTCTGGAGGGTGAGGCAGGAGAGTCACTTGAACCCAGGATGCGTAGGTTGCAGTGAGCCAAGATTGTGCCATTGCACTCCAGCCTGAGTGAAAAGAGTGAAACTCTGTCTCAAAATAAAATAAAATAAAATAGGCCGGGCCTGGCGGCTCACACCTGTAATCCCAGCACTTTGGGAGGCCAAGATGGGTGGATGACCTGCAGTCAGGAGTCCCAGACCATCCTTACCAACATGGAGAAACCCTGTCTCTACTAAAAATACAAAAATTAACCCAGACTGGTGGCAAGGGCCTATAGTTCCAACTACTGGGGTGGTGGAGGTTGCAGCGAGCAGAGATCACACCACTGCCCTCCAGCCTGGGCTACAGAGCAAGACTTCATCTCAAAGTAAAATAAAATAACAAGAAAAACGGGCAGGGAGCAGTAGCTCATGCCTGTAATCCTAGCACTTTAAGAGGCTAAGGTGTTGAGTTGAGGCCAGGAGTTGGAGGAGACCAGCCTAGACAACACAGCGAGACCCCTCCACCTCTATAAAATAAGAATTAAAAAATAGCTGAGCTGGTGGTGCACATTTGTAGTCCCAGCTACTCGGGAGGCTAAGGGAGGAGGGTTTGCTTGAACCCAGCAGTTCCAGGCAGCAGTGAACCACGATCACACCACTGCACTCCAGCACGGGAGACACAGTGAGACCCTGTCTCAAAAAGAAAAAAAAAGTAAACTACAAAAGTTAAAGAGTTTAGATTTTAGTTGATGAAAATGAGGAGGAATTGGAGAAGCAGAGGAGATGGTGAATAGAGAGCTTCTTCTCGGAAAGCTTTCCTGTAAAGGCAAGCAGAGAAGAGCAGAGGCTGGGACCAGACAGCCAGTTGAGAAGGACTTTTTGTTTCTTTGTTTTATTTTATTTTATTTTATTTATTTATTTTTATTTTTTGAGACGGAGTTTCGATCTTGTTACCCAGGCTGGAGTGCAATGGCGCGATCTCGGCTCACCGCAACCTCCGCCTCCTGGGTTCAGGCAATTCTCCTGCCTCAGCCTCCTGAGTAGCTGGGATTACAGGCATGCGCCACCATGCCCAGCTAATTTTTTTGTATTTTTAGTAGAGACGGGGTTTCACCATGTTGACCAGGATGGTCTTGATCTCTTGACCTTGTGATCCACCCGCCTCGGCCTCCCAAAGTGCTGGGATTACAGGCTTGAGCCACCGAGCCCAGCTGTTTGTTTTATTTTTTTGAGGCAGAATCTTGCTCTGTCGCCTAGGCTGGAGTGCAGTGGCATGATTTCAGCTCACTGCAACCTCCACCTCCCCGTTTCAAGTGATTCTCCTGCCTCACCCTCCAGAGTAGCTGGGATTATAGGCACATACCGTCACACTCGGCTAATTTTGGTATTTTTAGTATAGATGGGGTTTCACCATGTTGGTGATGGCTGGTCTCAAACTCCTGACCTCATGATCCACCTACCTTGACCTCCCAAAGTGCTGGGATTACAGGTGTGAGCCACCATGACCGGCCGAGAAGTATTCATTTTAAGCTGGGAGGAATTACAGCCTGTTTGTGTGCTGCTGACAATGATCAAGTAGACAGGAGGAGCATGATGCTATAAGAGAGGGAGGGACAGGTGCACGAGTGATGACTCTGGATGGGTGGCAGAGTTTGAGATCCCCACAGTAGGTGCAGTGGGGCTGGGGTGTGCTGGTGGAAGTGGGGAAGTTTTCCCCTGCTTCTTTCTATTTTCTCTCTTTCTTTTCTTCTTTTCTTTTTTTTTAACTTTATTTTTTCTTTTTTTTGAGACGGAGTTTCACTCTTGTTACCCAGGCTGGAGTGCAATGAATGGCACGATCTCGGCTCACCGCAACCTCCACCTCCTGGGTTCAGGCAATTATCCTGCCTCAGCCTCCTGAGTAGCTGGGATTACAGGCACGTGCCACCATGCCCAGCTAATTTTTTTGTATTTTTAGTAGAGACGGGATTTCACCATGTTGACCAGGATGGTCTCGATCTCTTGACCTTGTCATCCACCTGCCTCAGCCTCCCAAATTGCTGGGATTACAGGTGTGAGCCACTGAGCCAGGCTTTTTTTTTTTTTTTTTTTTTTTTAATAAGATGGGGTTTCACCATGATGGCTAGGCTAGTCTTGAACTCCCGAGCTCAGGTGATCCACCCACCTCAGCCTCCCAAAGTGCTAGGATTACAGGCGTGAGCCACCGTGTCTGGCTGCTTCTATTTTCTTAGAAAAGCAGCAAGCAAGCTCATTAGCTGAGAGAGAGAAGAGTTCAGAAGAAGAATATTGGATGTTTGAAGACAGAAAACAGACAGAAATTCACCTTAAATGAGCCTGCTCATAGTGGCTCATGCCTGTAATTCCAGCACTTTGGGAGGACAAGGTGGGAGGATTGCTTGAGCTCAGGAGTTCGAGACCAGCCTGGCCAATACGGCAAAACCGCATTTCTGAAAATAAATAAATTAATTAAAAATGAGCCCGGATGGCCGGGCGCGGTGGCTCACGCCTATAATCCCAGCACTTTGGGAGGCCGAGGCGGGTGGATCACAAGGTCAAGAGATCGAGACCATCTTGGTCAACATGGTGAAACCCCGTCTCTACTAAAAATACAAAAATTAGCCGGGCATGGTGGTGCATGCCTGTAGTCCCAGCTACTCGGGAGACTGAGGCAGGAGAATTGCTTGAACCCGGGAGGCGGAGGTTGCGGTGAGCCGAGATCGTGCCATTGCACTCCAGTCTGGGTAACAACGCGAAACTCCATCTCAAAAAAAAAAAAAAAAAAAAAAAAAAAAAATGAGCCCGGAGATAGTGATGAAGATACCAGCAGAGCCAGAAACAGGGCAAGAATGTATAAAGACTGTGGAGTGTGGGTAGGCGCTCCAATTCTTCTGAAGTCACATTTATCAATGCACATTTCACTGTCTGCCTACCACACTCTAAGCTCCACCAAGACAGTGGTGACTTCATTCCTGCTCTCCACCCCTTGCATAGGCGTTTTTACAAGAATGTATCCTCAGGCGTGGCACAGTACCTGGTGTGTCACAGGCATTTAAAAATATTTTGTTACCAACCTGGACAACATGGCCAAACCTCATCTCTGCAAAAAGAAAGAAAGAAAAGAAAAGAAAAGGAAAGAAAGAAAGAGAGAGAAAGAAAATTAGCCCAGCGTGGTGGTAGTACCAGAACTTGGGGGCTGAGGTGGGATGATTG